ATTTAGTGTCATTAATGCAGAAAAATATGGGCTTTAAAATGCTCAATATTTCACATTGTCCGGATGAGATATGTAGTTCCCTCTACTAGTATTAAATTTTACAAAAAAGAATAAGCCATCGGTCAGCTTTCTAGCAACTCCTTTCATTTCCTCCCCTACAATCTTTATTTGTCTATTTCTATTTGTGTATTTTTAGAACTCCTTGTTCTTTTTTGCACTTTTGGTTCCAGAGCATAAACTTTTAAGGTTTTCTCAGGGTGTCTTTTTTTTTTTTTTTCAATGCTAGCATCTTTTCATCGCCTCTTGATTCACTCAAATTTTAGTTAGTACTCATGCTGTGCATTGATTACTGTTGTACAGAATTATATAACTTTTCTGTACATTCACCAAGTAATGAATGTTTGTAATTTATAATTGTTTTGGTTATTTTCTTGTTTCTGATACAAACAGCAAGCAGCACTGATTTGATTCTGGATTAGATATTCTTATTCTGGTGCTCAGTTTATTTCTCTTTTTACTCCCAGAACATTTCTATTACTATATACTAGATACTTTTTACTTTGTATATTCTAATCTCTCTTCTATCCCAAAAGTACTGTGTACATTGTTATCAGAATTATTGCCCCACTTCTCTAAGTGACGTTTCGCCAAGGAAAATCATTTGCTCAGTTTATTATCATCTTGGTGTTTTATGATTATAATAGTCCAGTTTGGGGAAGTGAAAAATCAAATTTGTTTCAGTATGATTATTATCAAATCGGTAAAGTAGTATGCATCATAAACATTTAAAATCACTGAAACATCATCATGAAGCAGATCCTTTGCAGAATGTCGCTCTCATCACGGTCTGCATAAAGAAACTCAGTCTCTCGCCAGCTCTCCCGCCTCATGTACTTTCATACTCAAGGAGTCATTTATAGCCTGTGCCCGTCTTCGTGTTGGTCGGCCCCTGCCCCTCCTTCCTGGTACCATGCCTTCTGCTGTTATTTTTTCTCCAGTCCGTCGTGGCACTTGATATGACCAAAATATTTCAGCTTCCATGACAGGCTGCTGTTAATTAGCCAGTATTCCTTGGTGTTCAGATCTTTCAAGATGTCTGTGTTTCTCCTCTTCTTTGTCCAAGATTTTCTGAGAATCTTTCTATATATAGCATTTCAGCTCAAAAGCCCTTATGCTTTTTCTTAAGGACTATTACTGAAATATTTGATGTTTAACCACAGATCAGCAGTAACAATGACTAAAATGTTATCTCAAAATCACTAATACTGAGCTAATGGAGAGAAATAAACACACTCAAACGAATACAGAATTTAAAAATGCTGACACTGACATGTTAATGGTATAACAAAATATTATGTTCTCTAGAACCCACATAGCAAAAGAAATAAATAGGATCCACACACACACAAAATGGGGGAGCTGCCCTGGTGTAGCTGCTCACCTGCAGATCTGTAGGTTGTGGGTTCAGGTCCTCATTTAGCCACTGTTTTCAAAAATAACCTTTGCTCTCAAGTGGGTCCATTCTCAAATGGTGGAGTCATGGGAAGTAAAAGTGGCCGTTGACCACATCGTCCACCAAATGCTGGTTGGTCTATAAAGATATATATCTAACTCTACATGCCTGAAGAAGTTAAAAGGGTCCTTAACACACATAAAATATACAGAGAGTAGAATAATATAGGGACGGAACAAATAAGAGATTGGCAAAGGTACATGGCAGGGCTATTCAGTTAAGTTTACTCGGGGGGGGGGGGGGGAATTTTTTTTTAATTTGGATCGTTACGGGTCAGAGGCTTGAGCCACAGTACAGAAACATAGTTCAAAAAGAACAAATGGCGATGATCAGCGGGTAACTTCCTAGGCCACATCTGGCCGCCAGTTGAATAGCCCTGGTATATGATTTTGGGGTGAGTTAAGAGCTTAAACGTCCATTGGAGAATGAAAGAAGTTAAACCCTACCAGTTCCACGCATTGGCTGACTGACATCCACGGATACACTGTCACTATTCGAATAAGTATTCCCCAACTACAAATCCCAGAAACCGCATTCAACTGCGAGGGAGCGAGCCCCTGATGGTTACAGGGTAACCTGAAGTCCAGACAGGGTAGGGCCACTATCACTATCATTGGAGGAATGCAAGTTTGAAGGAGAATAGCAACCAAGAACTCTGTCTGAATTGATACTACAGACATGTCTTAAAAGTCTATTAATTAGGGGTGTTTCCTTTGAAGTTGGAGTGCATCTGCCTGTCTGAGAGACGTGGAACCAAGTCTGTACAAATACAAATAAGCAGGATCTGTAAAACAGTTGTGCATGCAAAGCTCAAGTTATGTGGCTAGGCTAAAGTCCAGAAATGGGAAATGGGTGAACAGCAAAAACTTTCTGCTGGAGTTTACAGCCAATAAAGACGAAAGAGAAGAAGATAGTACATTTTCTAATTAAGACGTAATTACATATAATATTTTAGATAGATACTATACCCAGGCTTTTTGCTAATAGATGAGGAAATTCATCCATGGCCTTAGTTGATATTCTCACGGAACACTTAGAGAGACAGAAAGGTGCCAACAGTATCCACATTTTGTTGCTAAAGATGCCATTAAGTATATGATGTGTCTGTGTATACTTTGGTTTCTGGTGTGCATAGTTTTTTTTTTTCTTCAGAAACTCATTTATATGTTTATATAATGATGTACATTTGTAACGTTCAACCTTTTTATCTCTGTCATTATACTTAAATTGATTGTTGGTGTTTTACCATGTTGGTTCCGGGGGTACCATTTGAAGGGGGAACAGATTATACCCACTGCCCCCTAAAAAGCATACAGAAGGCGATTAATTTGGGCATTTTTTTAAACTGGGTGTGTTGTGAAAGGCTCATCATATATTGCAGCATAGCTGTAAACAATACAATGTGCCAACAGACCCTCTTTTTTTTTTTAAAGTAAGCAGAGGAAGAATTTTTATTTGTATGGGTTGGCAAGGTCTTTTAAATGGTTTTCACTGTAGTATTCTATTATGTTTACATTTAGAGATAAAATAAGAATAAATAAAGATTTAAAGTATTTCAGATTTGAGCTGTCAGGCTTATCCAAATATAAAATTATTTTCCACATGTTTTTTTTTTGTGTGTGGACACCATTCATAGTAAATTCATTTAGCAGTAAACACTGTTATATGAACAAAGATACAGTGCTAATTACAGGGGAAACATTGCCACATATATGTAAAATCATCATAATTCGGCTTGAGAAAGGAGTAGATAAATGCCTACAAGTGGAACAAGCAGAATTCAGAAAGGGCAGAGGAACAACTGAGCACATCTTCGCCATAGGTAACATTTTAGAACAATGCAACGAATGACAGAGATGTATATATATTAATTTTGTGGACTTTGAGAAAGCTTTTGACAGCGTCCATAGAGACGGTCTGTGGAAAATTTTACGACATTATGGAATTCCAGAAAAAATAGTCAACATAATTGCTCTCTTCTATAGACTTTTCCTGCAGTATAAAAAATTACATCTTTCCCAGTAAAGAGGGGTGTAAGACAGGGATGTGTTATGTCATCTCTTCTCTTCAACCTTGTGATTGATTGGATACTAAAGAACCCAGTAGACAGGACATTAAGAGGCATACGATGGACTCCATTCACCATGCTTGAGGACCTTGATTTTGCAGATGATATAGCACTCCTATCACATAAACATGAACATATGCAAGAGAAAAGTAACAGACTAAACTGCACAGCAGAAATGGTGGGACTGAGAATAAATACAAAGAAAACTAAGATCATGACAAACAGTCCAAACCAACAACCAGTGACCATAAGTAACCAACCACGTGAAAATGTTGAACATTTCACATATCTTGGCAGTGTGATGTCCCTACTGTAAGGGACAGAGGAAGACATACAGTCACGTCTGAACAAAGCTAGAGCTGCTTTTGGAAGGATTAGGCAAATTTGGAAATCCAACAATTACTGCAGAGAAACGAAACTCCGACTCTACAAGAGCATCATTTTGCCAGTTCTTCTTTATGGAGCGGAATGCTGGAGAATGACCAAAAAGGATGCACACAAGCTGTCCACCTTCCACCACACATGTCTACGTAGAATTATCAAAATTTTCTGACCAGATACAATCTCAAACACTAAACTACTTCAAGCCACAAACCAAGAAACTTTAGTCAGTATGATTACCAAGAGAAGATGGAAATGGCTTGGCCACATTATAAGAATGACTTCTGATTTACCTGCCAAAACAGCTCTAATATGGACACCAGAGGGAAAGAGAAAACAGGGGCGCCCAAAAACAACATGGAGACGAACGATGGAAAGTGACCTGAGTGCAGCTTCTTTGACATGGAAAACTGCACTGAAGATTGCACAGGACAGGAAAGCATGGAAAGTCCTCTCTGAACCCTTGTGTGCCACTAGGCATAACGAGAACTGATAATGATGATGATATATGTGGACGAGAGACAGTTAATACATGCATAGGTGCAAATGTACATAATACATACATATTACAAAGGTATACATACATGTGTACAGACATGTACATTTAAATGCACACATTCATACCCATATACAAACATACATATGAAAATAAATATATTAGGAAGGTTGTTGTATACATATGTTTAATCATACATTTATATACATACCCTCAAAACCTGGGGGGGGGGGTGTAAAACTATTTTATTTTATCTTATTCAAATGTTCTATTTAGTGTGATACTATGGGGAGATAAATTCTGTGCAGATGTTTAGACATACCCAAAGCCTAGCACTAAATTATCTGAGTGTTTTGTCACAGATCAATAGTTCCATCATCCCCCCCAGCCCACACACCCAAGCATTGTCATTGTCAAGAGTGTCTACTGTCTTTGTGTAGCAGAAATAGGGCAGACATAGAGAGCAGCAGCTTGAGAAGGAGGGGTGTTGGGAGGAGAGATCAATAAAAAGTAAATGTTCTGCTGTTTGCACGTTGCAGGCTATGGATAATAATCAGAATCAAGAAGGGCTTGATGGCTTGCCATTGGAGCCTTGGATGAACCGGCAGCACCTGAGCTCAGTTCATCCTGGTCTTTCTGCTCAGGCCTTTAGCCAGCACATGGGTGCCCAGCCTTTGCATGATTTATTATCACATAGAAGTTTGCAGACATTTTCCACAGGTATAATTCTTTACAAAATGTGTTTGATGTTCACTTAGGGTGACATCAAAATGTCATTTGTTGTAACTTTTCTGTAACCTTTTGTTTATGTTGTTTTTACAGCTGAGTTGAGACTTCCTGTTTTCTTTTCTTTATGGTTTTGTACTTTGTTTTAGTTTATTTTTAGTAGGTGTCTAAAGCTGTGTCATATAGGCACTCAATTATTATAAAGTATCTGCTACATTATGTCAAATGTGTTTGGAGGAATCGGGGAGGGAGGTTCTCTGGTGAAGTCATTTGCCTTAAGGTTGCAGGTTCTTTTTACCACCACATCACCTATTCACGGTGCAATTTTTGGAAATTGACACCGGAGCGACGGTGTTTGTGTTTTGTGCAACACTCTTGACAGGTGGCTAGCCAGTCTGCAGAGAAAGATAGGTGCCGTATGGTGTAAAACTCGGTGCAATAAAGTCAGTCCTTTTGACTTTAATCTTTGTCAATTATTATATGTCACAGTAGGTGAACTAATTTTATATCTATTTTTAACATTGTGTTGCCTGGCTAGTTTGTTTTCCGATTCTGTTTTAATAATGGCCATCTTAGTTTTATAGTTAATTAACTTTTACTTAGGTCATTTAAAAACTCTAGCTCATGTGTGTGTGCGGGAATTGTTCAATAGTTAGATAATGAATATTTATTGTTTGACGTGTTTATTTAATATTCATAATTCATACAGAGTGGATATTTTAACACTCGGGAAATACTTGTAGATGCTCCATCTCCCTCAGCAGTCACAAGTTATAGATGCCGATTGTTCACTTTTAGATTGTAAAAGCAAGTATACTATGAAAATGAGACAAAACACTTAAAACAGTATTAGTTTACTATCTAGTATTTTTTATAGTCGTAGAGATTCATGTTATCTGTAGGTTTATAGTCCTTTTGATAAGGTAAGAGAGCAAAATCTAATGTTGAACAATAAATCTTTAGAGCAGGCTTGCTATAGAAAATAATTAAATACACCAGTTATACACTAGTAACAGTTTTAACAATCCCTAAATAATTTTTTTCCCACAGTGTTTATAAATGTGTCTAATATGTATGTATTCTGACTTATACCATTTTCTTTTTTTTTTTTTAAACAGTGGATCCCACATCTTATATTATTGGAGACAATTCCAAGACCTTGTCTTCATCACCATCCCTTCAGCAGTACAGTCTTTCGTCATCAGCACGGCTGAATCAGCCAGAACACCTATCCCTTTCACATGAACGTTCAGCATGGTCCCAGTTGTTAGCATTGGATCCAACAAAGATCACCCAGATGGGTTCTCATTTGCCTAATTCTCAGGTTCATTGTTTGACACAGGACACGCAACTTGCTCAAAGCACAAGACATGACCCAGTACTCATGTTGAAAGGGGACCCCAAACTGACACCATTTGATAACAGAAGTTTAAATCTGCCCAAGTTGAATTTTGCACTGGCATCAAACAGTGCTGCTTCCATTCCTCACGATAATTACTTGACGGTAAAATCACCACAGAATAAAATGCTGCAGCAGTTTAACCAGCCTATGAACTTTTCTAAGGCAGCATATGCTAGTAAACCAACACCACCCCAAACATTAGCTATATCCGCTGATGTATCCTCCCTGGAATCTTCGGGTAGTTATTCTCCTGTGTCACCTCCTGCTGTGGGTGCTAATTTAGATGAACCAAATATTTCCAGCTCTGGTCAGAGCTCTAGCAGAACAACCGATTTGTTTCTGAGAGAATCTCATGATATGTCATCAGCCACATTTCCTCTGTTTTCAGCATCTGACCAGGCAGATTTCTTTAATTATCTTTCGGGAAAAGATGATGCTTTTCCATCTGACATTAATATGCAAGATTCATATTCAGAATCAGCAAAGTCATTTACTGGGTTGTTTTCATCGGAAGTGCCGCTAGACATGACAACTGCTTTTAATTCAAAGGATACAGTTCCTGAAGTTGCTTTCTCATCTGATTCAATCACAAACGGTAAGTCATCACTGACTGAAACCCTATTTACTAAAGACTGTGTTCATCCAAAGGATTCTGTTAGTGAGATGAATGCCACAGCATCCACAGCTGACCGGAACCAATCACAGATTATTTTGCCCAATGCTTGTGATGAAAAAATTACCAGACTGGTAAAAAGTACACCGAAAAAGTCAAATTTCTATGGAAGAGACGCATCGTTATTTTCATTTATGCCTTCATCTTCCTATATGGGTGATGCACCAGTGTCTGAATACCAATCTTCGGATCTGGTTAGAGCTGATGTTATAGAAAATAAAGATGTAGTCACCAGCAATAATGAAGCATTTTCAGAATCATTTGGCATTCAATCGCTAGACAAAGTCAGTAATGCCGCTGAAAGTAACACTGTAACATCAGGTGTGAGCACTGTTAGCATTACCACACTTAGTCGTGATGAACATGCAGTGTTACCCCCAGATCCTGTTACAAATGTGTCAGCTGATTGTTCAAATTTGCAGATACTAGAAGACTGTAATACAAGTGAAGCATGGAACAATGACACATTGGGAAAGTCTTTTGATTCCAAAGAGACACTTGTGGCAAAAACCAGTGACATACAGTCGAATGATTACTCTGAAGATAATGACTTGACACAAGATGAAGTAAAGGATTTATCCAGCAGTAATGATGATACAGTAATTGGAGATGCTGATAATACTGAAAAAGAACTCAGTGAAGAGAGTACAGACACCTGGAGTCAGAATGTCGATATACAGGAACACGCCACCGAAGATTTTCTAACAGCTCGGTTGATAAGCAAACCAAAAACTGCTAAACGTAAGAAACGGAAAGCCGCTACTGGCTTTCAAACCAGGCAGCGTAAAAAGCCAGTAAAAAAGCAACGTCTGAGTAATCTGGCAGAAGGATGTGATGGTGGTTTAAATACTGAAGTTAATAATTCTAACACAGATCCAGATGCACAAGATCCAGACGTATCAGAGTTGCAGAATGATGAACAGACATCTTATTTAAATGAAACAACTAGTGTTAAGAGAAAACCTAGACGGGTATCTACTGCTAAGGCTTCCAATGTTGACTTAACTCCACGTAGAAGCTCAAGTCGTAAATCTAAAGACAATGCCATGAGGCTGATTGAGCTTCAGGCAGATTCAAATTATAGTGGTATAGCCGAGTCAGCTCCTGTTGTGGAAAAGAAAGCAACCCGTAAACGGAAGAACACAAAGTTGAGTTCATCGTTAGTCGCAGGGGGTGGTTTTAGTGAAGGGGATACAACTGAAGAAGAGAAGAGCGATGAAAATGATGGAGATTATGTTTATGATGAAGACGAAATTGAAGGTTTTGATAATGATGAGCCTTTAGAGCATCCAGTGGGTAAGAAAATTAAGGAAAAGAAACTTGGAAGTCTTAAAATATCTATCAAGCTGAGCGGAAATTCTTCTGCTGAAATTGTATCTGGCATTGATGATTCTCCAGCCACAAAAAAGAGAAAGACTGCAAAAAAGAAAAATCAGAAGACTAAGAACAAGAACAAAATGAAACCTATTAAGGAGTCGGATGAAGAAGAAGCTGTGCAAGAGCCTTTGAATTCAAGTGGAGCTGTGGAAAATTGTGAGGAGACAGTTAATGCGGCAAGCGATGACAGAGCTGAAGATGCTGGGAATTCCTCTGATGCCAAAGACAGACACATGTCACTCATGGAAAAGTATTTCCTCACCGCTAGTACAGCAACAGCTGCACGACAGACTCAGAAGAAAACTGGAAGGGAGTCGGCAGCTCAGAGAAAAACAGGTGCTAAAGTTAAAGTTGCCAAAAATTTGGCATTAAAATCGGGCAAGAAACAGAATGAACAGAGCAAAGAATTGCTGCAGAAAACTCCTGTGAAATCTGGTGGAGAATCTGCGGTTCAGAATAATAAAGCTGAGAAAGGGGTGACACATGATGATGCAGAAACTGGAGTTGCCAAGTTTATTTGTGGGTACTGTCCACAAAGGTATCATAACAAACAGGAACTTCTTGCACATATGGAAGCTCATATGGTTGAAATGGAAAAGACAAGTGATACTGAAGTTGGAGAGGACAAAAAAACGCAGTCGGTCACAACCAATCTTACCGCAAGCAGAGACCCTAGATCTAACCGATCTGGCAATGCAGAAATTATCAGCACTAAGCCTTCAGTTGCTGAAAAAACAGCAGAAAAGGTAAAGCTTAAACCTGTCGGAGATCTCGTTAAAGAGTCAAAAGATTCAAATGTAAAAAGTGTTCAAGAAACTTTGAAACAGAAGTTAAAATGTGGTGAGTGTGGAGAAGTTTTTGATTCAAAACCCAATCTGCTGGAACATGTACGTATCCATACAGCAGATAAGCCTTTTGAGTGTGATATATGTCACAAATGTTTCACAGAGAGAAATCTTTTATCCGTGCATCGTAAAACACATGGCCAAGAAAAGCTACTGCGGTGTCATATGTGCAGTAAAGCTTTTGTTGATAAAACTGATCTAAATCTGCACATGCAGTCTCATCCACGACGCTCAAACGCAAAACCAGCAGACAAACACGTGCTGATCATTAAGAAATCCTTGAAAAAGAGTCTGCAAGACAAGCAGGATTTGGAAGATCCATTTGTCCCTAAGAAACCAAAGTCCTTCGCTTTAGCTCTTACTGGAGAGATGGATGTACCAGGGAAGGCAACAGATACTTCATCATCAGTGCTTGTTATCACAAGAGGTGAAGGTACTAGTGCTGAAGCAAAGAACAGCAGCAGTTCAGGGAGCCACAAGCCTATTTTAATTGAACCTAAAGTGTCTTTAAAACCTCTTACGTCAAATATAAAACCAGCTATTGTAAAGACTATTAGTTACACAAAGAAACCTGTAGAAATCTCTGTTGCCAATAGTAATGTTAAAGGGGACAGTAATAAAATAGATGGTAAAAAAAGCAATGATGTTACCGCTAGTTCTGATGGCGAAAAGACAGAAGCAGTTGTACCAAATGTCTGTACCTGTAAAGAATGTCCAGACTGTGTGACCAGATTTCTGCAGAGCTTTGAGTGATAATTTGAATTTTGATGTTTGTAAGACACGGCTACTAGAAACACAATGACAAACTGATCAGAATAATCAAGTTTGTTGATGTCTGTGAAATTCCTCTTGCTGTCAAATGTGATCTTTTTTTTAGACATAGTTACTTTTGTCTTGCACCATTTCTGTTCAAAATATGTTAGACATAGGCCTGGTTTAGATGCGCACTATGGATTTTTTTTTTTTTTTTAATTGACATTATCTCCCAACTAACCCAGTCATCCTAACACGAGCACAAAGAAAGTCCTGGGAAGTAAAGGTGGCTTGTGTGGTATTGACTACGATATGCGTAAAATATAGTACAGTCCCCACAATGTGCCTGTCAAACAGGACCACAAACACCTGAGCACATTCTGCAGATCTGGCCTCAAGAGCAAAATGCGCAGAGCAAGCTATGTGAAACCATGGACTTGCTACTGACATGCGAGTTCATAAAGACAACCCACCTAATGGTCTGATCTGAGCGTTTGAAACCGAAAGCAAAGAAGAAGAGAATGGACCATGTAGCATGTGCAGATGTGCAAAAAGGGAACCTTTACTTTTAATATAAAATTAGTGTATAAGCTTCTCTAGCGTAGCATATACTTCATGTTATCATAGATAATGATCAAGATTATTAAATTACATTACCCGATTTTCATGTTCGCTGTGACTCCTATTTTAAAATTTAAAAAAAAAAAGTTCCTCTTTGATATCTTTTGAATGTGGTTGAGCATCCACTGCTGCTTGATAAATTGGTTTTGAAAAATATGACTGGAAATCTTAATGGGAGCGTTTAAATAAAAAAAAAATTTCTTTATTTTCATGTTCACTGGTTCTAATCTCTGGCAGAAAATTCTGGCTGTTCATCCATTTCTGGAGTTTAGTGTCGAAAGTGCTTCTGTATTATTGTGTTTAGAGAAGGTGTTATTTTTTTAATTCCGGTTCATTTTAAAATGTTATTTTTAATTGACCAGGTTGATTTTTTTAAAATAAGTATACAAGATCATAGGAAGAGCCATTGGAAAGAGCGGGTATTGCAACAGTTTCACATTTATTAGTCTTTAAAGGCTCAGCTGGCTAGAACATATTTTGAGGATGGAATAGTCCCTAAAGACATCTTCTGTGGTGAACTACAGATAGTTAAAAGATTTCAAGGTCAGTTCTACTATGACTTAAGGTGTATGCAGGCGGGACATGAATGATAAGCTATTGAGGTGGGTTCATGGGAACAGGAAGCTGTGTTGCGTGGGGTGAGAATATGGATAAAGAGGGAAATTATTGTGGATATATAGTTTGAGCTGGGCATACTGAATACCTATGATGGCAACATTGGTTTTGAAATCCCAGGCTGTAATTATGAAAGACGTTTTCTAAATATAAGGAGGTCTTGCTAGTCATGTGATTCTCATGCGTCCCTATAGTACAGTATAACACTATTGTCTTGAAAGACAGAACAGTACCAACAGTACAGTTATTTAATAAATAGAGGAATTTATTTATGAAAAAGAATCCCTTTTTTTTTAGATAGTTGGTTAATAATGAGTGATACTCCTTTCTAAATGTCTGTGTTTCAGTGAAGCTGTCCTTGACAAACTTATGGCCAGGTCTTCTATCCTTGCTGTCTTTTCCTTTTGCATTTTTAGGTCTCCTTTCTTCCTTTTTGTTTGGATCCTGGCCAGTGATGCAGAGTTCAGGCAATTTGATGAGAATCTCTTTGAGCATCTATAGGAGTAAAATCCAGATCAACACACTGATTTGTCAGAGCATTGAATTCTCTGTTTCTGGTGTTATCTGTTATTTTTTAAATGAAGTATAAAGTCAGAAAATAAAAGTGATGAAATATTTTTCTACAATAATACAGGCCTGGGTTTGAATTGATTCACATACTACTTTTATTGGACAAGATAATAAATTGAAGTAACAGTCAACAATTAATATTATAGCAGATATATACATATACAAGAGTCCGGTTTAATGCCTGGGAAGTTGCTTGGCACTTGATGAGTTGAAATACGCGAATAAGGTTCAATCATGGAAAAGATTGTGGATAAGGTGCATACACTTTTCTTGGGTTCAAATTGACATTGAAAAAAGGTTTTTTTTTTTTTTTTTTCTAAGTATGACCTTGGTTCTTATGAAGACTCTGCCTAAAGCGGGTAACAGATAATGTCCTGGTATGTAAAGGTGGCTGGTATGATGCTGGATCATATTGCCCATGGATCTATACAAATAGGAGTCTAGTGTCGTATGCCCAATGCACCAGTGGGATGAAAAGAGTCCTTTACACCTCAGTAATCATGAACTATGATTTAACAATAACATTATTATCATTTTCATTATGAAAAGGTATGTTACTGACATCATGGCACATCGGGCATTCCCTTGCACTATCATTACATTGGGCATTCTGAAAACAGTGAACATTGAGTTCCTGTGTGTGCTCATTACTTTGGGAATTCCTGTGTGTGCTTGTTTCTCTGACACACACTACCATCCCAGAGTACCTTTTCTGACTGCTGCCATGAGTGTGTGATTATAATGTCTCCTATCTTGACATCAGAGGCGTCATAGATATCTGCCCTAGGCAGCGTAGGGAAGCTTCATATACCATTGACTTGCATGCACCCTTGTCAAATGATCAAACCCCCATCATATGATGGTTTAAAAAAGAATATTCCATTGAGCTGCCAGGTCAATCTTACCTAAGGTAGGTATCAAGAAATATTTTGTAATGTGAGGCAACCCACAAGATATTGGTCCATAAAAATATGGGGCTAGCAGAATATAGCCATTGTGCATAAAGGCACTGGGGGAGAGTTTGTGTGGTCTTGAGGCATGGTGTCTGCCTTGAGTGCTAGAGATCCCGGGTTCAGGTCCCGGTGAAGGCTGGAATTTTTTCACGTGGATTTCTAGCTTTCCCCCCTGGTCTCTGGGAAAATATCTCTCTGCAGTTGGAAATGGAAAAGAGTAGCCTAACTGTGCTGCCCGAGCAAAATTTGAAGTTAAAAAGCTACCCAAAAGTATTTCAGGATCCTCACAGGGGCTACAGAGTTTGTGCACTGCACGGAGATTCTTTGGACTGAGGCTTGAGTCAGAAGTAAAACGGAACACTTCTGAGTTACCCCTTGTGCCAGGATGTTGATCCATCATCTGAATTAAATTAAAGGCACTGAAAGGAGTCCTTTGTTGTTTTTGTTCCCTCAGTTAAAATCTACCAGTTTAGAAATATACATTAAGTAACAGGGAAACTGAGTTACATTCTTGCTTGGAAATAAAATAATAATTTTAAATGTAACAAATTTATTGGAAATAAAATTGCCTCATTTTCTATTATAATCCCACACGAACATTAAGACATTTGTTTTTTTGATCATGTTTGTTTTAGCTTTGTTGATTGTCTTGTGGAATCTACATATTGTTCAATGCCATGTGTGAATCTAGTTTGTCTAAATGGCTGTTTGTTATTCTGGTCTATGGTATCAACTTGTTCAGTTTACTGCCTTGCATGTTCAGTTTTTGTATATATGTTATACATTTCTGTCAAGATAAGCTCATTTCTTAGATCACTCAATTATAGAGAATGTTAATGTTCTGTAATCAATTTCAGTTGCTGATTTCACTAAATAACCATAGATCAGGAATTATAGTAATTCTGCATACATTGTATTTTTGACCTGTAAATTTGTGAATCTAGAATATTCAGATCTGTTTTGTTGGAACATCATTCTTGGGATATTTAAACTTGTGTCCAATTCAATCAGTGGGTGAAAGTGTGTGTGGAAAATTTGAAATTGAATATCTTTTGTCTGTACATACTCTTTATTGGCTTGATTATCTATTGTATAATTATTCTGACCTTCTTTGTCCCATTCACTAGCTATAAACTCTGTCAGAATGTCCTGGTTGTTCATCCACTTCTTGACTTTGGTGTTTTTCCAGGGCTTTGAGCTTTGTGTCCATCCATTTTACAAATCTGGTTAATTTGTTTGCAGACCGTTGGTTCCTCGCCACAGGCAGATACACTCTCACTTCAAAGCAAATTTCCTCATCCTGGTGCACTGGAGTGTGTGGTCCTGCACCTCTGCATCTTCTGGTTCAATCCACACATAACGTATTTTATGAATTGCTTATACAGAAATATACCTTTGGTAATAAATATATTTTGCCAAAGGTTTTTTTTTTCTGGTTGTGGTCTTTTATGGTGTGCTTGGTTTTTGTTTGTTTTCCTGGTTTATGTAAGTAGTTTTTGAATCCGTGTTTTTCATGCCTTGATCACATAATGTTCTCAATGTTAAACAACACATGCCATAATCTGTGGAGGCTTCCAATACAAATATATACTCATGCATTTACTCAATTAATACTGAGGCTGTGAACACTAATGAATGTTTACTTTTATGAAGTGGTCTTTTGAATTACACTTACTGTAAAAGCATGCTGCACAGTCAAATTACATTAGAACAGTGATTTAGCGTAATTTATTAAAGTAGATAAAATGTAACACAAGTTGTTATATAATTGGATTCTGAGTAAGTTAGCTGTGCACTCTATATTAACCTATTATTCTTCTTCATCTTAGTGTTTATCAGCTGTTGACTCCAGTGGAAAGTTCTAGTTGTTTGTCCACTTCTGGACTTTGGTCTTGTTCCAGAATGTGGGTTCTATGTGCACATCCGTTCTAAAGGTCTGGTTTATGTGTATGCAGACTGTTGGTTCCTTGCCTCTCAGGCAGATGCACTCCGACTTCGAGCAAAATGTCCCTAATTTGTTGACTTTTAGGATGTGCTTGTTCGGGTTCAGTTTTATTCCCTGAACCCATGGGCGAGAGTCCCCATTAAATTAAGGGGAAATCTCGAAGAAACAGGTTATTGGAGGAACTTTTGACTATATTTGTATGTGAATATTGAATGTCATTTAAAGTAGCAGTCTATTATTAAACACATTTTACATTATTTTGTTTTTATTATTATTAATTGATTCATTGAGTATTT